CATGAAGATGAGTAAAAATTGTCTGTGAATATACGAGATCGAACATAATCCTCTCAATTACTAACGTGTTAATGCTCTATCATAGATATTATCAGCATATGAGAAAGGCCCCACAGCACAGGAGTAACTATGGAAATAAGACTCTATAACAAGGAGGCCCTTGTATATACATGAGTAAATAGGACCATTAAGAGCTCTCTCCATCGAATTATTTACTTTTATCAACCGAAAAGTTGTTCCAGCAACTATCCTTCGAGCCGTGTTGCTTCACAGCTAAGATTATGGTAAGGATAAAGGAAGGCTAGTGACTTGATAATTTGATAATTTGAAATGTTTCTATAATGGTAAGTTGGTGTATGTGAGTATTAGTTCTTACAAAAGATGACCAGACGGAAGTAAAATGGATCAGATCTCATTAACTGACTAGACAGACCCTCCTGTGAGGAATACGGTACTTTTTTGAACCAAGTAAACACTGAAAAGACGCAAACCTAGAACTGGAAGATAGACAAATCTACGCTCAGGCATGTTAATATCGTATCAATATTGATCAGATTGACATAACTTATCACACGAATGCATTCTGACTTGATCCGGACATAAAAGTGGGATAAGTTTCATGTAATTATTGGGAATTAACCTGATTGAGCATGTTTTCACATGTGATCGAGTCTCTAAACGACAGCGGAGGAAAACCATTGGCTGAGGCGTAAGCATTGAGACAAGCAAAACATGAAATTACGTCACAAGACAATACGGAATCACGGCACGTTACGGCACGTTACGGATAATCAAAAGTGGTGGAATAGCGTAAGCTCAATATGGGTCTAGGCACAAGTATGTTCTATATTGGTGGTATCAACACACTATGGATGAGTCAGAATTACAAATCCTATCTAATGATGTAAGATCGAGGCTAATTGAATAGGTATATAAACCCCTCTGAAAGCACTTTCTGAACCTCACCCAATTCGATCTTCATTATACTGACAGATAGAATCGGGCACAACCTTGAAAAGCTTCATTTTAGAAGTTGATAAACAAAACATCACATTTCACAATAACATCTACAACATCCACAACATCCACAACATCCACAACATCCACAACATCCACAACATCCACAACATCCACAACATCCACAACATCCTCAACATCCACAACATCCACAACATCCGCAACATCCACAACATCCACAACATCCACAACATCCACAACATCCACAATCAAATTCTGAAAATCCTCTTGGTTAATTTCTGTTTTACACTGTGATATTTCACTGTGATATTCCACTTACGCTGAGCCCTTCATTCGTTAAGAGATATTAGATTCTCTCCTAGTCACGCCAATTCTACCCACTTTATACAGTCCTCTTAGATTTCGACATGACGCTGACTTCAGTCGATGCCCCTGGGAATAAAGTTCAAGGGCCTCAACTTACAAGACTGCGCGCAGACGTCGCCCGTCTGTTAGGCCGTTCCAATCATAGATTCCCCGGTGCAATGCCCGCGAGTCTTTGTCGTAAGCACATACACGAGCTGCAGGAGGAAGAGTAAGTGAACTCCATTACTCTTCCACCATCATTTAAGTAACAAAGTATAGTTACTTGGTTTGTGAGAAATCAGATGGAATGCGCCATCTCCTCTATTTCACCCAAGACCGTTATGGAAACGAGTCCCAGTATTTCATTAACAGAAAAAACGAGTTCTGGGCTGTACCCCGAGCAACGTTTTTCTGTCCAGCACCTCGTGAAAGACGAGGCTTTCATATCGACACCCTTGTCGATGGTGAGCTGGTCATGGAAAAGACGGCTTCCGGTGAGCTCGTGGCCAAATATTTGGCTTTTGATTGTTTAGTTCTTGACGGAGAAAGACTGATGAGATGGACGCTCGATCAAAGATTGTCACAACTTCGACAAGAACTTTACAATCCATATTGGCGTGTACTTCAGGAGTTGCATAGACGGTTTGGGCCCCAGCACTTCTCCATGGAATTGAAGAAAATGGTCAACTCGTATGCTGTCCAACATATATTTAAGGAGATAATACCGTCGCTTGCACATGGTAACGATGGTCTGATTTTCACCTGCCGAAAGTCAGGGTATAAATTTGGGTCCGATCCAAAGATTCTCAAGTGGAAACCGGAAACTGAAAATTCCATCGATTTTCGCTTGCGCCTTGAGTTTCCGCAGATTCAGTCTGATGATAGCAGTGCAGAGCATTGCCTTAACCTTTCTGGACTTCCTATCTTTCATTTGCTAATCAATGCTGGAGAGAAAGAAGGCGACGTACGTTTTTCCACCATGCATGTTGAAATGGATGAATGGGAAGCATTTAAGGCAGAAACAAAGCCAGTCAATAATCGCATTGTCGAATGCTTCATGGACGAGAAAAAGCGCTGGCGATACATGCGGTTTCGCGACGATAAGATCAATGCCAATTACACTAGCACAGTGGATAGTGTGATTGAAAGTATCACAGATCGGGTCACCGGAGAAGACCTTGAGAAGGCGGCATCGAATATTCGGAAGAATTGGATGCAGCGGGCCGATCGAGAGCGCAGAAGTCAGGCTGAAAACACTATCTCACGGCCGATGAGACAACGGAGATGCTATCCGGAGCCATTTCATGGCTCCAACATGAAACGCCATTGTCATAGTGGTTGGCGACAGAGACTCTGCTGAAATTTTTCTGGTAAATTGAGGCGTTAAGGGATGATGAATAATTAGCGATTGGTTCACTGGGTGTTTTCGGGGGTATTATGTGGATTTCGCCATGGAGTTATTTTTGTGGTTCTGGAATTGAGGTGTTTGGTGTATTTCTTAATAAACGTTTTCTTTACCACAATCAAATTCACATTAAACTGGATAATTCTGTCTCTCCTTTCATTGTCTGCAAGAGGCATTGATGTGATTGAAGAAAGAATTGGAAAATATCATGTGAGACATGCGTCCAATAGATATCCTTGTGCCGTCTTTTGTGATCTGTTGTCAAAAAACAGTTACCATTGAATTTTCGGGGTTTGAAAGGCAGCACGTGAGCACGTTAGCTAATCGTTTTAATACTGTAGTATTGTTCAGTTCGTAGGATAAATCTCTACGGCCTGCGATAAATACATGATGGAAGGGATCGACGTCAATCAATGACAAAAAATCAAACTCATTCACTCACCATGAAATGTGATTCAAATGTTAGTGGATTGGATAGCAACTAAAGAAAAAAGTAATAGATAGGAAATAACCAATAAAATAATTTAAAAGCAGACAATCCTTCCTTTTGTTGCAGCGACGTGCGTGTTTCACGCTTATTTCGTTGCTTATCGTATTATCTGCATGAATAATAATCAAAAATACCTCTGAAAGATAGGTATGAGACCAGAGATTAGCTGGGCAGTCGGTAATAATTTTTGTGGATAGACAATTCAGTTGTTACAATTACATTTGTCCACAGCCGCACTCATCATGAGGGGGTAACCATTAATGCCACGAGTCAAATGGAAATAAATTTATAAGTCACCAAATAGTTTTCTACAAGATGAAATACCCAATGGTAGGTAATTGATGCGATGGAGTTGTGATATAAAATGTCAATGGAACATAATGCCTATTGATTACACTATAAGACTCATTTCATTGACCATACTCTAACTTGTGATTTCCTAGTGATGTTATTTTTAGCTGAACTTCATAGCACAGTTGCAGTCGGAGGGCAATTACTCCCAAACGCCTCGTCCAAAAGATATTTTTCCTGCTGTTTAAATATAAATTGTAAATTATTAGTGCGAGATAAATAACGCATAGTGATATATTTACCCTGCTACTTGTGGCTACGGTAGACAGAGAATATCTGCGAGCAATTTGAAGGCGGAGACGATGTTAATCACCTGATATAAACATTCTGGCATTAGACCAGACGCGGGAGAATGGTTCGCTTCCTTTTTCGGATTACCAGGAGAGATCACGATTATTGGCTTTAGGTAGATGGATCACTGTATTACTGCTGGAAAGATATCGTGGAGGTGGCATGGGAGGGAGGATACTACCAAAGGCATAGATAATCCCGACCTGTAGGCTGAGAGAAAGAGAGAGATGTGTGTTTATTATACTACTTGAGTCCTAGACCATCTAGCACATTGGGCTCCTCTAGGCAGAAAGAACCTATATGTCCTATCATGGTCATAGACTTTATACAGGGCTTGTCCCACACCGTCCATGAGAGCAAAGCGTAAAGTTAAAAAGTTGGAACTTAAAACATGTAGCTAGTATCTTATTTGTAGATTCTAGGAGTCCTCAATAGTCATTGACTCAGTTAGGACTATAATACAAATCTAATATAATCATAGACTTTATGGCACACTTAATGCCACAAGAAACAAGTTACTATTGGTCACGCGGAGTCGCTTACTAATCAAGACGCGACCAGGCGTATGTAAATAGTTACACCCAGTCCTCCTAGGGACTCAGAGAAAATTTTGCGAGGAAGCTGGGAAGGGGTCCGGTTGGACTATTTTGGAAAATGGGAGTAGAAGGTAACAAATCATCGAAGGGTTGCCTCTTATTCTCTGGCTATCGAGTATCTAAAATACATAGTTTTCCTCATATGAAACCCTACTAGATAACTCGCTGGCAATAATGCTACTACCGAAACATACCAAAACGTGCTCAGGACAGATAAGATAAGTATATCATCGGAAACATAAATGTAAACCAAATTCAGAGTATGGGTTATGTGAAATCCGAACAAAAAGATATTTTCCATGATACACATTATGTATCAGCATTAACTTCTCCGACCCGATTCATGTTATGAGTAGATTCGGGGAAACCTAAAATAAGCGTAGCTCAACAGGTCCTACGTGTGGAAAAGTGGCTTTCCAATTCCGAGTTTTACACAAGGACCTGCCCTAGAAATCCAAGAGAAGGAATAAATAGGTCTCAATCTCAGGCTCACCTTTGAGCCTTGCGTTATTGATGGATGGTTTGGTATTTCTGAATGGATCTATCAGTAGTATCTCGAGAGTGGGTGTGATACATGGGAAGAGTTAAGAGGCTCGGGGACTGGCTGTAAAAGTGCAGGTATTACGCTACTCGCAATCATGTAATTGGAGAATTGCCCTGCAAACCTAGTTAGGAAGTAGCAATAAGCAGAGCAGTAAGCACTGGCGTCAATGCCTCTAGGTAGTTTACTGCGTAGTTGGGACCTCAGCCAAGCTTGGCGCCCCGACGGACGAAAAATAGAAAACAAACACCTGGTCCTCTTCCCACACGAAGGTCTTGACTCCTTGTAGACAATCTAATTTGCAAGATTTGACCTCGCCAATCTCCTCCACTTTGAGAATAAACTTAGACATCACATATTCAACTTCCTGCACGAAACCTCTGAAAGTCTACTTGACGTGAGACAACCAGTTTTGGGGGATTTTCACTCCATCGGTTTCCTCCTGAGTAATATTTTAGCTAGGTATTCCTACGTAGGCCCATGGAGTACCTGAACGGGCTAATTGAAATCAAATCAAAATACATGATATGTAATTTAATCCTCACCTTTATCATAATACCGTGTATTTAGGGCGAGACCCTCAGTTTCCATTGGAATTATTGGAAATAAACGACGTATAAAAACAAGGGAATTTTGGTAGCATTTTATCTGGTTCTAGCAGTCCCTCATAGCCATAGAATTTGAATTTGAAATCTTTAAGGTGATGGGACGGACCTAACGTCGATTTGGACGTGACACGGGTAGATGGGCTCTATGAGCTCACTGCTACCTACATGACCGGCAGTGAAGCCAGAAGCCAGAAGCGAAAAGAGAAAAGAAGGAAATGAAAAGAACCAGTAAATGTCTGATACAGTGCCCTGCGCCGCATCCCTATCTTCTAAATACATCTCTCGAGTTAGAAAAATCTCAGCGTGGTCTGTCAGACCAGGATCAGAGCCCGGTGGAATTCGTATTCCTGAACTAATGTTTAGTGATTCATGTAAATTCCATTCTTCCAACATGATCATAACATTATTGTCAGAATAATATGCCAAGCTGGTACCTCACATAATTTGTGATTGCCTCAGGAAAACCTTGGCGTTTTGGGCAATTTTCAGCTAGAAAATGCTTGGCGTCCGTGTAAAAGACGTGGTGGACTGGGATTGAGTCGGTTTAGGATTACATCTTGGCTACAACATGTTTGGATTGTATCCTTTGCTGTAAGGAAGCTATTTCTAGATATTATCATCTTACGTCAGGTAGTAGATATGTGTAGATATATAAGCTGAGAGAAAGAGGAAGGAAGACAGACAGACAATTACATCTTTTTAATTACTTCAATTGAAAGCTCCTGTGCGAGCTATTCTTCAAGATACCTCTAGTCTCAATCATGACAGCTTCCAAACCAGCTCAAAAGGTTCGACATGGTCACCTCCCAACCTGCTATTCTTCAATAGACTATAGCATCTGCTTGTAGTTAGGAATTGAATGAACTTCTACCATCCCTTCTACCCAGTCATCTCCTTGGCTCTAGGCGGGGCCAATTTCTCACAGCTTATCCAACGTTGCAAGGCCGGTCGGCACTCTAAAAAACGCCAGTGCCTTTTCTCCCAGCTGTAAACGCACTTAAGATCTACATATTCGGGTTTGAAACGCCGGTGGTAGTCACCGTAGTCCCCGTGACCAGTTCTTGTCGCAATCACACGGTGGTAAGCCCATCTTGGTAGAGCCAGTTCCGCTGGCTGTTTGCAGCGCATGTAGAGGTCTAGGACTTTGTATCGTTCCGGCCAAAGACTCTACCACCACTCTTATACGAGTTCTCGACCCCGCATTTTAACTAGTCTCCCGAGTGCCGCAATGTTCTAAAGGTAAGAGCTTACGGAGGTTAATTAGCAGAAGGTTTATGGATGATTGTCGATGAATCAATGTGAACTGCTGATCTTATCGATATTCAGAATTATGAGGATTTAGGAGATAGAAAGCGCTAATGATATACACATCTGAGGCAGCTAGACTCTCGCCTTATTTACCCAAAACAGTACCACGGAATATTCTAGTATCCTCCATCTGTTACTATTATCTAGAAAAACTTTCCATACAGTGCTCCATCACTCTTCCACTCATCATGGAGCCACGTGGAAAGTTCTTCCTTCACCCTCAGTGATCATTACCCTTGTGCATCGTAATCCTGGCCATCACCAGTACAAAATGCAAAGGCTAGATCATGAGATTCTGCACTGAAAAAAGCTGTGGTTAGTGACCAGTTGTTGAGAGGTCCCAGGGCCGATTTGGCCTGCTTATCGGCCTGTTCCTTGCATTTGATCCTAACATCACCAGGTGTAGGGATTCTGAGGAGATGCCTTTTTCACGGATCCGTAATTAGAATTTTAATACTAACATTAATTCGTGATAAGATAAAGGGGTAATTTATTGAAAGCATAAAATTCATAATAGCTTCCCCTATACAATTAGTCATGTAAAAAGTTATGTAAGGAGATACAAGGGAGTCATGAAGAGAAGGACAAGAATACAGCCATTAATGCGAAGATATTGGCAAGAATTGATAACGATTAATTCCGGTTGGCAAAGGCTTCTACTCTTGTATATAATAGTTCAGCGTGAGAGAGATTTACTCCTCACGCAACGTCATCTTTACTTACCCTTTACAATACATTTGTTTACCCATCTCTTCTTCGGGAAGACCATATATCCAATTCCCAGTTCTTCATCAGCAAGACCCACGTGTAACATCTACTGCGACTAGTTGTCCATTCATCTCTTCCTTAAAGAAGAGCTATCATCCCTTTGACCCATTTATTATCTTCATTCACCACCTAGATCTTCACTAGGCCATACAACGCACTCCGTGGAACACTGTCAAACCCTCATCCTTGAGGGCCTTAGGCAGGATCCACGGGTCTCTTTTTCAATTCAACTAGGCTTAATTGCCCAGCGAGGACAATTAAGTATTTTATATTTCCGACTGAGTTCTTCACGCCAGGTTTTCTATCTTTAGGAATAGTTACATACTTCTAATCACAACTCACTCTCGTCCACTCCAACCATAGTGAAATACCGTCACCTCTGCTCACTTTATCTCGAGTGACTCCCCGCTTTCCCCTTTACCACTTCTCTAGAAAGCCCTCCGCGTTTCCACGAGGCGTTCTTCCTCAGTACCTCGTACGCTACGCCGTCTCCTACGCCTCGAATCTTCCGCCTAGTAAACCTGCGCCTGACACCAGGTATCTAGTCTATTTTCATACGCTTTTTTCGTCTCAGCAGTGAAAACTTGTCCACCACTGCCTGCGAGGAATTACATCTTCCTCTTTCGAGCGCCCGAGCATCAGCTTGATTGTCCAGAAGAATGCAGATCGCTATGTCTTCTCCCACCGCTATTGCAGCCCCCAAGGCTTTTATGGCGCCTTGAAATTCCGAGTTGAATACCTCTGCTCCGGAAAGTAGATTAGAGCCACTTCAAGCTAGCTTGCTTCCTTGGTGTTAGATTATGATTCCTTAAGATGGATATAACAGTGTGGCTGGAAGTAGATTCGATAAAATGTAGGGATAAACAAACGTGTATTGTTACAACAGTCTCAGCATTCCCTAAGAATGCTGCAGCCTAGCTCGTACCAACGTTCCACTACTAGGCTCATCTACACGCGAATATGGAACTACTAATACAGGGTATATAAGATCTCCAACGCCTTACCCTTTTTACTCCTATGCAAATAATAATCACAACCCTAACTCCGTTATGTTAAGGTACAGGGATAAATATGTTTGACCAACGCTCTTATAATTCAACAACATTATCATTACTTTAGGAAATCAGAATAAACTTTGTATATTTCGCTCGTTTGATTAGGTCACGACCACATTTCGTGACATTTTTACAGGTGCCCCTGATCTTGCGGCCATTTCCAAGGACTTTTGGATCCTCCAGGATGATGATACAGTTGTTCCCGATAGTAAGGCCTAGACAGTCGCTGAATAGTTAAGCATAAAGTAGATGGCACTGCGGCCCCGGTCTCGCTTGCTAGTGGTGATTGCTTCTAGAGCAGCCAAAGCTCCATGAATCTCCGCGTCGTAGACCTCCGCATTCTTAGTTTTGACTGAGCTGCTTTGCTCAATTACCGTGTCTGTGCCACTGTTAAAGGTCACAAAGGCCCATGACACTCTGTCGGGACGCCCCAGAACTATAACTGTAAATGCAGAGACAGTCGAGTGGGAGTATTGATAGCCACTCTCTTATAAACTTGGCAGCTTCTTTATTGCTTGTCTAACAAGGAATCGGCTGAGGGGGTACCCGAGGTCGGAGCGGTGGAGATAGTTCAGCCTCTGGCAGAAGTCGATACATCCTCTGGACTCTCGAGTCATGAACTCTATCCAGACCAAGTCTGCTTTTGTTGCATGTCTTTAGTCCGAGTCGGTGGCGAGCGCTGTCTGTGCTTTCCGTGGCCCGAAGTCGAAGCGGATGGTACTCATCTAGTCTTCGGATTCGTGCGGCAGTCTTGAGCCTGCGTTCCTCGAGCAGAATGTGTGCTGGTAGGATGCCAGTCTCCCTTCTCAGGGCTGTGATAGGCATGGTGCGCCAGTTTGGTAGAGACACGCGGATTCCTAAGGCAGAAGTTTGGTCGATTGCTTTGCACTATCTCTTATCAGAATTTCGCGCAACACCCTGAGATTTTTCCCTGGTTAGCCCCGAGCACCAGAACTACGCAGCGTACATCGTGATTAGCGGAACTACCGTGCGAATGAATGTGGTTAGTAAGTCGAACCTTGGTCCCTGGGTACGCTGAGTGAGCCATTGGAAGTGTTGCACCAACCGCATTGCTTTAATGGTCTACTTTGCGACGTGGCTTTTGAAGGTCAGGCCGCAGTCCAAGCAAACTCCGAGCCATCGGATGTCTTCGGATGCTTGAACATCGCGAGGGCCTACCCTTATAGTCGGAAGTTCGTATCTACTGGATCTAGGGCCGAAGAAATAAACTACTTCGGCCTTGTCTGGGTCAAAGGAGACGGCGTTATCAGCGGCCCACCCTAGGACTGCAAAGACTTCTCTCTGGACAGCTGCTGCGGCTTCATATGGAGTCGAAACTATTCCGAGGATAGCAACATCATCTGCATAGCCAAATCTCCAACTAATGCCTCCCACGACTTAGGCCATGTAGAGGAGGAAGAGAATCGGGGATAAAGGCGATCCTTGTGGCAGCCCGCACTCTAGGTGAATTGGGTCTTTTACTCCATCCTCGTGTCTGACACGGGCGAAT